TTTAATGTTAACTTACTGAAAAAAAAAAAAAAAAAAAAAAAAACACATACATAATACTAGGCAGAAGTACCTTATATATATATATATATATATATATATATATATATATATATATATATATATATATATATATATAAATTTATAAAAGCAATTTATTTTAAAAATTATTGTTTATTTAATTCAAAATGAACCATACTTAATTTTTTAACTCAACTTGTTGGGAAGAATTATAATATTATTTTATTAAGTTTTTTTTTTTTTTTGGGATTGAGAAGATAAATTGTAGGCACCATCATCCATCTACAATAAATTTGGGATGACATAATATTACTTTAATTGGTTATTTTGGTTAGTTGACTCAAAAGGTTTGATTGATTTCAGAAAAGCAGTTTGGAAATCAAAATTTAGCCAACTTATTAAGGTTAGTTTGGTAATATTTGTGACGGCCCAAGTTTTTCAACCCGATGCGTCAGTGATGAACCGAAAGTTGACCCGGTAATGGATCCGAAATGCAAAAGTAAAAGATGAAACCAAAGTCTTTAGAGATATAAACCATCTCTAAGACACCAATGTGACCTTCCATGAAGTCACGAAACTCAAAGAGGACGAACGCGGAAACAAAGGTCAAAACGGCTAAAAACCGTGAACCAAGGGGCGAAATGGTCAACTCACCATTAAAAGGAGAGACTTGACTCTAAACAAGTCAAATAAGGTGAAAACAACCTAATCTAATCATTTCACAACATTCTAAGAGGTTCTAAGAACATTGGACATGAATCCCTCAAAATGCCCTATCCCGATTGAAGTGAAAACTGACACCCTCTCACTAAAATTTGAATAACTCCCACTGTGATTCAAATCTGAGAATAGCATTGGTACCATTGGAAAGATGACTCAAAATCCATAAATTTAGGCTTAAGAATCATCCCATTTGGATTTAAAACGAAGGAGTTATGGTCATTTGAAGTCAGAAGAACAGTGCTGAAACTGGACTGAAGCTACTCTCGGGATCTACATATTTCGGTCGACCGAAATGACCCATCGGACAACCGAAATGGACAAAATTTCAGCTAAAAACATGTTTTTAAGGCTTGGTTGGTTCAAGAGACCAAAATGAGCCATTGGTCGACCGAAATGAGCCATCGGTTGACCGAAATGACCTTGAAAGCTGAAAATGGCTACTGGAAAGTGAGTTTTTTATGCTCACTCAAACACCAAAGCCATCGGTCGACCGAAATGAAGTTTCAGACGACCGAAATGACTCAAAAAGCTGCCACCAAGCTTGAAAAAGGGTCCTAGGTCCATTTCTAAAGTGGTGCAAGCATCCCACATGATCCATGCATGCTTAAAAACATTCCTTAGCCTTAAAAGAGCATCCACAACATACTAAAATGAATGAAAACTTAAAACATGCTTTTAATGCATGAATTTCTTTATAAAAACTCATAATTTATCCATAGATAGTTCAAAAGTCAAAGCTTAAGAGTTTTGTGAGATGTGAGCATGCACGCAAACGTAAAATGACATTTAAGACGCGTTCCAATGGTCCGCGACCTCAAAAGATCCCAAATGCAAAATATGACCTCTCAATGGCCAAAAATGCCTAAAATTTCATAAAATGGAACTAAAATGTGAGACTTAAAATGAAATGGTGTTTGGCCCTTGGCCACACCTCAAGAATGATCATAGAAACCCTATGAAAGAAACAGAATGAATCTCCCACACCCGATGCAAAAGTTATGAAACAATGACTTAGCATTTTTTAACATTTTTATAACAAGCCTTGAAAACAAAAGTGTAAAAAAATTCAAGTTACATGTCATTGGCCCATGGCCTTAACTCATACATGTCAAATACATTGAAAGGAGTGTACTTAGATACACTTTACATACATGGAATCAAAGAATACAAATCTTGGTACACAAGGTTACAAAAAAAGGCATTTCATGCTAACATTTGCATGAAATGGAAACTTAAAAACTATAAGCCATCCAAAGAGCAATGACCACCACGAACCAAGTCTTCAAACCTGAAAAATGTCCCCACAACGTGGGTGAGTAACATAAAGCTACTCGTAGGAGATGAGCATGCATCGACCTAGCATTTTACAATTATATCACCTTAAGGTGAAACATGTCAAAGAGGCTCATGCCACCTAACGTCTATATCACAATAAGACTCAGGGAGCATCCTAAGCTACTCATGCAATTCAACTGAACAACGGCATATAAGTATACATACTCAAGTATACTAAACATTGTCAAAATATGTTATACGACATACAAGCATACATTTCCAAGTATACTAAACTATATTTAGATAAGTCATGCAATGTCTAAGCATCTCTACACAAGTATGCATTTAACATGGAAAAACTCATAAACCAAGTACACAACACAAGTATACTAAATTAATAGGATTTTGCATATGACAAGTATACATAGCACAGATATACTAAATGAAGTTTAACTCATGAAGCAAGTATACAAGTTCAAGTATACTAAACAGGATTCAAATATCCAAAGCAAGCATCAATTCTCAAGCTACAAGTAATTCATGATTAACAACTTGAAATTAAATGTAAAAACAAATAGTGGAAAGACTAGGACACGTGGTCGCTAGACCAAACAAGTATTTTCGGGTAATTACGACCCACAAGACGCTACCTAGTGCGCACTTATAACTTAGAAGACTCTTGTCTTCGTACTAGAGCCAAACCCTAGCCATCATATAAAGTATGTATGTCCTCACAAGCTTTCCAAAACCAGTAAGTTCAAAACTTATACAAAATCAAATGCAAGTTACCACATTCCATGCACAAGTAAGATTGAATTCACATAACTCATGTCCTAGAATTCAAGTCTAAATAGCATATGACAAGTACTAAATATGTCATAATTTAGTATCAAGCTTTCAAGGTAAACAATTGTAATATTCTAACATGCTATATACTTACACAAGATATATTTAAACAAGCTATTCAAGACAATGATATCACATGTCGTGTTAAGTCAAATTACCATCTTTAGAGATCACAAGTACTAATTCTACAACAAGTTAGTAGCATGTTTACAAGGTAATTAATTAAACTACATTTTATGAAATTATCACCTTAACATGAAAGTCCCTAGATTTCAATTCAATTCCATATAGGCTCAAATTAACATATGTTAAAGCTTATAACAGTCTTTACATATTTCATACCCAAAATCAATTTAAGTGACTACAACACTTAAAATAAAATTAATTAAACTAATTAATTAATTTTCCTCTAGATTTTCAAATATATCAAAATGTCCTTAATTTAATATATGTTAAAGAACTCATCAATGCCTACTTTAATATCACATTACAAGTTGATTTCATGCTTGATACAACTATGCGAATTAATCTTTCACCAAAGATAAATATTAAATAAGTTTTGCAATTTTTATTTAATTGCTCCAAATTTAATATATGTTAACTTTCATACCAAGGCCTAATTTACTAGCATGCCACAATTTAATTCTAAACAACATACATCCATGTGAATTAAATCTTATACAAAAAAATAATTAGATTAAATCTCTAAAACTTGAACAAGGCATGCTAACAAGTTGTATATGCTCATAAAACATTCAATACAATATTAATATAAACCTAAGACATCCCCTACCTCAATTTGAGATGAAAACTCAAATCCCCACCAAAAGAAAAGTGCTCCGAATCCGACGATATTCCTAGGTTTTGTCGGGGACAACGCCATGAACAAGAATCCCTATGAAAATCACAACTTGACCTCAAAACCAAAATCAAAATTTGGCAAAAAATGGGTTCTAATAAGGGCAAAAGATGCGCGTCGTCAAGGGGAGCAATAAACGTTAAGGCCAAAGACTTTTCATCAAGGAAAAGTGGACCAAAAAAGGAGAGAGAAGATGACAGCCATGGCTGCCAAGGTTTCCGGCCAGAAGAGAGGAGAGAGAGCAAAATATATAATTTGTCTTGTCTCTCACCCTATTTATAGAAAAACCTTAAAAGTGCCCAGAAAGGGCCTCGCAGGGTTCGAAAAACGTGAAATTTGAGCAGACGCGCTCAAACGGCAAAACTCCGTGAACGAAAAAGATTCAAAATGAGAAAATATAAACAACGGAAGAAACGGCGTCAACGGAATCCAGAAACCCTAAAACTGGAGAAAAATGACCAGAACGGAATTCTAAGAGTACACGACTCGACGAAATATGAAAATGAATTCCGTACGAGGATCCAGGCTCCAGACGAGTTATTTTGCAATAACTTTCGTTAATTGCACAATGGCCCTTACAAAAGGGGTTACTGCAAAACTGCCCCTGAATGAAAATATATTCCAAAAGATATTTTCTTAGACACCCCTGAAATAAAATATCTTCAAAAGATATTTATGAAAAACACCCCAAGAAAAGAAAAAGATTCTAAAGAATTGTGCATTCATGGCCCTATGCACACCGAGAGCAACCAGAGTACTTTTCTGCAAAAGTAAAGATACGTATTTCGTGGAAACCACTTAGAATGAAGATACGTGAAGTCAAAAACCAACTCCAAACATAAGGAGTGAGGTTGCGCCAACCAAGTGACAAACGGGAAAAAGACAAAATAGGAAAGAGGATAAAACAGGGAAAAGGACGAAAAGTGAACAGTGTCGAAAAACGAAAAATGTGGAAATGACTCGGTTCTCAAAGGAAGTTGTCAATCCAAAGAAAAAAGTCTCAGAAACCATTTCCGAGCGCTCGAGACGACACTAAGCGACGAGAAACTAAACTCAGAAAATAAATTTCAACGAAAAAAAGAAAAGGAAGGAAATGACTGGTCATTACAATATCATACTGTAGTATTTACAATTGATGTGGTAAAGTTGACTTTTTAAGTTATTATTCAAAAAAAAAGAAGACGCCATTTAGATATCAAACGGGGTCGTTTTAACTACAGCAGAGGGTGCTCTTTGATGTCATTATGTGTGTGATAATATATAACCAGGTTGTATTTGGGGTTCGGATTTGGAGTATTTTGTAGTCCAAATAAATGAGAGAAATGCGCGCTCGTTCTAAACTTGTTCTTCACTTTCTTCCCATTCATCACTGTACATTAGAAGCTGTATGTGCAGACCCGCGATAGACGGACTGGTTCCACAAACCTCTTATTTTTCGATCCACCGGTTGTTTTTCTTCGATTTGGTCCATCATTTTTTTCTTAGACGTTTCTTTGAGGCATATTGTACAGCAGAAAAAAATGGCATCTTTGCTTCTTCGACGCAGACTCTCACCTGTTGTTGGCATTTCTCGTACTCTTCTTCAAGGTAACCTCCAAAAACCTAAATTTCTATTCCATGATTTTCTCTTTTAGATGTAGTTTGGTTGCCCAGAAAATGCAAGAAAATATAAGACAGGGAAAAGGAAAATTGAGCCTATTAATCTGTTATTTGAATTCTTCATCAATGCTAAAATGGGTATCACTATTACACTGTATTTTTTATTGTTTCAGGAGGGTAATATACTCTCTTCTTCTTCTTTTTTTTTTTTTTTTTTTCTGCGAGTATAATATACATTTACCCAGATCATTTATATTTATATTCATTTATATTTCAATAGATGGAATATATTATGACTGTTATACTTGAAGTTGCAAATTGATTATGAAACTAATTGACTCGTGTACTCGATGTGTAAGAATAAAAACAGCTTATAATGAGCATTGTTCTGTGTGGTATATTTAGGGTAATTTCTTTATCCCAGCACAATCACTTTGCCCCAAATGGGATTTGAACCCTTGACCTTCTACTTTAGAAGGTGAAGAGGTACCTAGTGGCGTGTCAGGTGGTTTAGAATCTAAAATTTGAACAATGTGTTTTAAGATTAGGACTTGGTGTTTGCTATATGTCCTTAAATGTGTGATAACTTCGCAACTTAAGTTACTAGAAATCTCGTGCGCGTGTCAGGTGCTTTTAGTTGTCGATATGTCTTATCCTAAAATCTTGCCTATGCAGACAAGTTGAATTGCTGAGGAATGTTTATTATTGTTAATACGTAAGATGAAATATGTAACATATTTCTTATTTAATGCTAAAAAGGTGTTGCCCAAACAATGATTCAAGAGAGAGGGTGAATTGGCAAATTATAGCAGTTCTTGGACTTCTTCTCAAACACTTGGTGTGCAAGTAAATATAGCAATAAAACAACAACCAAATGTAAGCGATAGAGAAATGCAAACTCAAGAACATGAGGTTTTTACGTGGTTTGGCTCCTCGTGCCTACGTCCACTACACAAGAGCACATCTCTCGAGATTTTAAACCTCCACTATCAAGCTCTTCTTCATGGGTGAAAAGCAAACCCTTACAAAGCTTCACAAGCTTGTCTCTCCTTGCTAAGGGAGCATCTCACTAAGAGTTCAAGGGTTCACCAACCCTTTTACAACAATCTCAATGATATAGAAAGTTTGAGTACAAGAGATATCCTCTCAAAGGCTTAGATTTATAAAATCAAATCTCTCTTTCTATAGTTATAGATGTAGCTAGTGATGAAAGCTCAACTCTAGAATACGATATGAATCTCACTATATATGAGAGATATTCAAGCGTAGAGCACAAATCTAGCAAAGATCTCTATAGAATATGAGTGTGATGTAACAGATCTAAGGCTTTCTCTAAGCTTTTTAGGATAGCAAAGTTTTTCAAAGAATGAGAATGAATGAGCTAAGCTTTTTCAAAATGTTTCCCAAAGAGATATCCCAAACGGGTAAGGATCTTCTCTTTATAGCCTCATTGGGAAATATAACTGTTTTTGTACTTTAGGACATGTTTGGATATGTTAATTTAAAAATTTAATCTTTCTATAGACTTCTGTTCTTTAGGCATAGACGTCTGTGAGACCCTGGGCCTAGATTTTACCTTTTCAGTATTTTTCGCAAAATATGAAGGCATGTACATCTGTGTGTCATTTTAGTTAGGGTTTGAATCTGCATAACTAGTTTGTAGAAGTCTGTTAGTAACAATAGACGTTTGTCTCTCCTGTTCCTGAAAAATGTCTCTCTTAGTCTTTTCCTAAAACACCGAGGCATGGATTAGGTCATACTATAGACGCCTATAATTCATTTTCGAAAAAAGTTTAAGGATGCAGCTTTTTGTTCATAGATATCTGTCATGAGATTTATAGACGTCTTAACTTTTTCCTGAACATCCTCACTCTTTGTTCTTGGCCAAAGCACTAAGGAATAGACGTCTCTCAAGATGTAAGGACGTCTGTCCTTAAGTCACATAAAGCGGGAGCGTGAGAACATCAAAATTTAAAATTTTTAAGAGTGGGAGCGGAGCGCCTTTAGAGCGTCTGTGAGATTTTTTAAAATTATATTTATATTTGCTTTTATTAATTAGATATATAAAGTAATTATATATTTTAAGTGTATCACATTCACAATAGACAAAAGTTGTCTTACTGGCAGGTGTCCTTGTTACCTCGCAACAGGTTGCAGTTTGAATTCATACCTGCGCACAATTGGTTATTTTTTTTAGACATAACGGCCTTGACTAAAAGGATTCCCCGTACAGTTCAGAGATCGAAAATTTGAATTCGCGAACACCAAAATTAGAGTTTGCTAATTTGGGGTGAATCTGCTCCCAAGTCTCCGATTCGCGCGTGGAGCTTGGGAGCGGTCACCCATGGAGAATTATGTGACTTAGGTTTGTCCTTCTAGGATTTTTCAACTCAAGGATCTTAAGGCCATAAATACATTTCATCGACATGAGTTGATGTCTTATTCACTTGCATTCAATAGATATAAGCTTTTCTATGTTCAAAGTGACTTTCACTAAGTCAAATGACTGTTTTTCCTTCATATAAGTCCAAGGGTCGAGTCATTCTAGTGACCATGTATGATATGCCGCATATGCGTGATAAGTTCATTTTGGTCCTAATCCAATTTTAGTGTCCTAAACTTGAGCTTTCAATGCACATGCAACATTTATTGCTTTACATTCAAGTCCTAGCGCACGTTTACCTATACTGCCCGTGATCTTGACCTTCGAGCTCCATCATAATCATGATCCATAGGTCCACTAAGCCTTTGAGTACCCGAGTTTCATGATTAATCTGAGAATAACAACACTCAAGTAGATTGTCAAATCCTCACATTAATAGTTTGTTATCAACAATAATTCAATCAAGTTTTGGGCTAACAAAAGGAAAATGAAATTTTTTGTTTGGACTCCTAAGCGTATCGATTCAACGATCCTCTTTTACTCCAAGTTACACGTGGTATCAAGATGCGGAATAGACCATGGTATGCCACGCGTGCAGAGTTGGTTGCATGTGGCATTGCGCCTAACTAACATCACATTCTAAATCTTCCAAAGTCGGGATTGATCGTAAAATCAGACTGAATGCATGCCTAAAAGCCACACACACCTGCCCTTGCTTTACGGGCTACTAATCTGACGGTAATGACACCCGCTTGGCCAAGTTTTGGGACTATCAACCCTAAGGCTCCATGCCCCCCCTATTTACTAGATCGAATCCCGAAAATCATCATTCAATCAACTAAGTTCCAATTTCCACATAACAATCATTTACAAGTAATGAATCCACAATTCATAACATGCTTTTAAGCAAGATAATCGTCATGCTCGTGGGTTTTAGAGGATGGCGCCCTTGTGTTTATGGTGGTGTTTGTGGAGGGAGCGGAATAATAAATCCTTTGAAGGAAAGGAATCCTCGATTGCTGTTCTTAAGTCAGCTTTTATTACATCTTTATGTTTTTGGGGTTCGGGTAGGCTTTGTTCCTCCCCGGAGGAGATGATTGATTTTATTTCTTGTTCCTCCCCGGAGGAGATGATTGATTTTATTTCTTCTTTGGGACCATAGGATCCCTTTGTTGTCTTTGGGACACGTTCCCCTTTTGAACGTATTTTGAATGAATTTGCTTAATTATAAAAAAAAAAAAATATCGTCAAGCAATACTTCTAGCATATCTCAATATCTATCTCGTGAAGTGATTCATCACATCATCATCAAAACTCATTTTCAAAGTAAAATTCCTCTCTTGAACATTTTATAAACAATAAGTGGACATATAATCCTCATGTCAACAATTTACATATAAAATGCTATTTTACAACAATCAAAACAACTTTAAGCATGTATACCACAACTCTACATACTTAGTATCAAAATAGTATCAAGATATACACCACACACAGGAGAGCCTCATCATTTCAACAAGTAGAATATAAATGACATGTTATACATTTCTAGCATCTATAAAGCCTGCTAAGACCCAAATAAACATGACTTATAAACCATGGGTTAAATAAATTAACACACCACTACCTCAAAGTTTCAAAATTCACCCAAATTCCAAATGCTCCAAGTTGGAACTTTGAATCGGTGAAGTGGTAGAGAAAAGAGGGGAGGGCAAACTTCCCTTCCTGAGCTTCCCCAAAATCCCACTTCTAATGCCTCAAAATCTAGAGAGGTGGAGAAGAAATGTGGATGGAAGACAAATGAAGCGAGAGAAAGAGAAGAGAGAAATGGGGTGGTCTTCCTTCTTCCTCTTATTTATATCCTTTAAGTTTCCTAAATTGCAAACATAACCCATGACTCTTTCCTAATTACTCCTTCCTCCCACCAACTCTTGGTCTTGGGTTCATCCTTCTCACTTGGGTCCCCAACTATTCTCATATGAGCCCATGACAATTCCCGAGTCCGAAACTCATCCTGGATCCACACACCCAAATGAAACGTGCAAACGTGGACCCGAAAAATAGAAACACAACTGTACACCTTTAAATCAAGATCTCATGACAAAAATCAAAATTAAGCACATGTTACACATTACTCATATTCCTAACAGTTACCTTATAAGTTTGGAGCTGCTGGTAGTTATATAACTAAGAGAGATATTCCTTTTAGTTCTTAGAAAATCTATTTTTTGGTAGTTGTTAATTCATGCACATATTTTATTGAATTTTAAACAATTTGGTTGTTTGATCAGAATATAAAACTTCTGTGATTGTGTAACATATTATTTTAGCCAATTGTGTTGCTTTATTTATTTTCTACTCCCCTCTGCCCCCTGTTTCTTGAACAGATTATATCGAGCCCTATAGGATACCTTGGGAATTTAAGGCTGGAACTTCAACTGATATTTGTGATTGCTCAAGACCGTTCTGCAGTTCCAGTGGTGTATCAAAGTTTGATTTTACAGACCTGACGTAAGAATAATATTAGCTTCTTGTTACTTGGTGTGCAATTTTTTTTTTTTAACTTGAGGAGTATAATTGTTTGGAAATACTTGGAAAGTGTTCGGACACTAGAATATATAACTTTTTCTTGTTTATTTTTCTGTATAACATGTAAAATTAGTCCTTCATAAAATATCGATCTTATTGAATGTTCTATTACACTATGGGTTAGCATATTAAATGAAATTTCTAATTTCTTTTTGCCCTATTATTTGTGGTGATTTTATTTAAACTTTTTGACCAAGTACTCCATTTTTTAATCATGATTTTGTGTCTTAAAATAACATTAATAAAGTAATATTGAATACTTTATTTCCTTGTTTGACTCTTTCTGTCGGTTGGGTTGGGGAGGGGCTTTGAGGTACTGAAAAGAATCTTATTGTTCTGTACTTCATTCATTTGAGAGTATTGCTTCATAATCCTTTTTTTCAATTTAATGCTGATGGTTTTACTCATTAATTTTTTTTTTTAATGCTCATGATTTTATTGATTTAATATTCCTATTCAAACCTTATAAGATGTTTGACCTTTTCCTGTCATTTTTTAATTCTATTATGATACTTAGTTGTGTTTCTCTTGTCTTGAAATTTAGTCGTCCTCATACGTGGTACCCAAGTGCTCGAAAAAAGAATCGGAATGTTATTCTACATGTGGGTCCCACAAACAGCGGTAAAACACATCATGCTCTGAAGCAACTGGAGTCCAGTTCTTCTGGTACATTGTAGATGCTAATTTTTCCATAATTTTCTTGGTTATATTTTGTATAATTGTTATAAGAGAATTAGCAGGGTGATTTAAGTAAATTGGTTGAAATGTTCGCATATGTTTTGTTATGCTACAGGTATCTATTGTGGGCCTTTAAGATTGTTAGCTTGGGAGGTGGCAAAACGGTTGAACAATGCAAAAGTTCCTTGCAGTCTGATTACAGGACAAGAAAGAGAGGAAGTTGATGGTGCAAAGCACAAGGCTGTGACAGTAGAGATGGCAGATGTGACCTCTGACTATGATTGTGCTGTTATTGATGAAATTCAGGTATGTTGATGGTTTGTTAATAGTGTTACTAATGGTATTAATAGGAGTTGTTAGCTTAACTTGTGCACAAAAGACCTTTAAGTACCACCATTTAGGAAGAGTGACATGGTCCACATTGAGGGTAATGCTAGGGGATGGGGAAGACCGAAGTTAATGTGGGTAGAGTTAGCAAGAAAGATTTTGTAGCATGTAGTTAGTTTGAGGCTATGGCTTTTGATAGAGTGGAATTGAAGAATATGATTCTTGTAGCTGACCCCACATATTTGGAAAAAGGCTTGGTTTGTTGTTAAATCAAAGCTAATGCCATTTAACTACACTGAGCTATTTATACCCCAAAGGTAATGTTTGTTTGTTGTACGGATCTGTGGTAATAATGTTTTTGAGAATTGACAACAATTCCATGTATCATGTATGATACATTGGTTAGAAATACAGAACCACTTGTCTCAAATGCTGGAATGGAGAATCTATCATGAAATCTGAGAAGAAAGATTTGATTGAGAGTCTCATTTTTTCTGTTTCCTTTTTCCTTTTCTTTCCAGAATCCGCCATCAAATCCTCTTATGCACACTGATTCGAAACTCTTCTGAAGCAAAGAATCTTATTCTCAGTCTTTGAATAATCTGATGAAGTCTAACTTCTTTATTTTTATTTTTTATACTTTTTATGTTAATTTTATTTCCCGGTAATTAAAAGTGTTTCTGTTTGATTCTTACACATCTAGTAATCGTCATAGTAGTTTTTCACTAGAACCTCATTCTTGAATCCTTTTCTCTTTCCCCTCTGGTTGGAGGTACCGCATCCTTCTGATATCCATTTCTACCCAGTAAATGTTAACTTAAGTGAAAAATCTTTTACCAATTGGCTCCCCAAAACTAATAATGGTTTAATACTTTAATGAATATAAATTGCAGAATATGTACAAATACACCAAGTGCCTGGACTACTTGAGAAATTTTTGGGGAGGCAGTCTGTTATTCACAAGTACTGCAAAGAACTACAATGAAAATCCTTCTAATGGTATAGATAACAAAATTAGAGATGATCAGACGTCAAGTGCAGGAATTGCTGTCGAAGGGGTGGGGGAGTCTCAGTCCGTCCAGGGGGAGTCGAGACAAGGCCAAAGGCAAGGGCCCGGAACTCCAATCAATAAATGAATGATGCATAAGATATGCCACTTTAATCTTTATCCTCATTTTGGCGCCCAATAAAAAAATCAGTTCCTTTTACGTATAAAAAAATCAGTTCCTTTTACGTATAAAAAAATCAGTTCTTATTTATTTATTTATTTATTTTCATCAGAAATGTAATGGATTATCTCTTCAATAAACCAAGGATGTCAATGGGAAATTTGCGCTTGCTTCGTAAAATCCTTCCATTTTTACTCTGAAGTCTAATAACCCATATGCTTTAACAACTCTCTATCCGTCTCTCTTCATGAGGTAGTTCCACTCCCATAGAGGCTCAAATAAACTAAGTGGAAAGTTTAAACCATGACATGTTCCCACTTTTGTCTACAATTTAAATTCTTTTATTGTTCTCCTATGCCTTTTAGATGACTTGTAAAGAAGTTCAAATCTATATCAGAGAAGAGGGAGTTTTGTAGGAAGGTTCAAGAATGACTCTCTTGGTCCATTTATTTATTTATTTATTTTTAATAAGTGACTCTCTTGGTCATTTATCTTTATGCTTCTGTTTAAGGTTGATTTCTTGCATCTCACTGTTTAGTGGAAAACTTGTACTTCTCTCATTATAAAATATTATGGAGAACTTTTCATATTATTAATTTCCTTTGCTCTCTGTCTCTCTTCTCCTCCCATTAATTCAGAAACTAACTCTTCATTATTATTTTCCCGTAATTTTGTGGTGGTTTATATGTAATTATATATATATATATATTATTTCCTGCAGATGTTAGGGTGTGGAACAAGGGGTTTTTCATTTACTCGTGCTCTGCTAGGAATACCAGCCAATGAGCTTCATCTTTGTGGAGATGCAGCTGCTGTTCCTTTGATTCAGGAGATACTTAAAGTGACTGGTGATGATGTCAAGGTAATGAAATTTCTGATTTATCAGTTCTACAAAAGTGGTTTAACATTCTGCCTGATTAAATCGTGGGAAATTATTTGAACAATTGCACTTATTTTTTAATTTATTTTATCATTGTTGGATTACGTGGGAATATTCTTATAATGAGTATAATTAGCAGGTAATTAGTGGGATTTTACCACGTGGATATTATTGTAAATTATATTTTTGACTAATATAAATACAAGGGTGTAGAGATGTCAATTGCATATGACAATCCTTTGTTACATTCTCTGTTCTCTTTTCTTCTTCTTTCTTTCTCCTCAAATCCTAACAATCCAAATCCTAAAATAATATTTCAACTTGGTAAATTTTATTTTTGACTAATATAAATACAAGGTTGTAGAGATGTCAATTGCATACTACAATCCTTTGTTACATTCTCTGTTCTCTTTTCTTCTTCTTTCTTTCTCCTCAAATCCTAACAATCCAAATCCTAAAATAATATTTCAACTTGGTATCAGAGCAAAGTTTCAACATCAAAAGGACACCACAACATTCGAAAGAGTCAGAGAAGGCCCAGAGGTGTGCTGACATCAGTGTCAGTATGCTGACGTCAGCATGTTAGGGTCATGTTACGGTTTGAAATTCTTACCATCTGGATTGCCTCTTCCTGCTTAAGATTAGGATTTTTTTTCATAATTTTTTGAAGCCATCTTCTAGTGCTTTTCTATTTTTGAAACGATTTTTTGGCGAAGGGGCTGTTTGGTGCGATCTGTTTGCTGGGTCTTTTTTGGTTGGATTTTTTGCTTCAATCCACCATAGAAGGATGCGCCTAGGCTGTATACAGGATTGTGCTGAGTTTGGTTGCATGATTTTAAGTTTTGAATTATTTTTTCTTCTTTTTTGGCTTGCGGCTCTCTTGAAAAACACTGTAGTTCTGCTCTTTCTGCAAGATTTTCGATTTCCAGGCTGTGTTTGGTTGTATTTTTGACATTATTTGGCATGCAACTCAAGTCTGGTAATTGTGTGATTGTCCTGTTGCTTGCATATTGAGTTCAACCTTCAGTGTGTCAGCCCTTGTTAATAACCCATCTCAAGATTAGTCTTGAGAAATTGGACGGGAGCAATTACTTAGCGTGGTCTAGGTGATGCCTTTGTCAGTTGGGGCACGTGGCCTGTATGGTTATTTGACTGGAGACCACAAGAAACCGGCGTCATCTGATCTCACTTCTGATAAATGGTTGTCAGAAAATTCACTTGTGATGTCTTGGTTGTTACACTCCATGCTACCACATATCAGTCACGGATACCTTCTTCTCATGACATTTGGACTGCGGTGGCTCAGACCTACTTTCGGTTGGGGAATGACGCACAGGTCTATGAACTAAGGAAGAAGGCTCATGAGACCAAATAGAGAGATATGACTATTGCACGGTACTATACTGAGCTATATAGTGTGGCAAGAATTAGATTGTTATCAGGATTTTGAAGCAGAATGTGCCAGTGACAATGCCAAATTTCAAAGACTTAAAGACAAGGAGCGTGCTTGTGACTTAGCCATGCTTGACATGGAGTATGACCAGATTCGTGTTCAGGTGCTTGGTAGGGATCCCAATCCCATATATATATGATAATTAATAATTCATTGAAGGTGAGCTCCACAAAATCCAAAAGAACATCCTTAGATTTACAATTTCTCCCTTTGACCTAGAAAAATAAAGAAGACAATATATTATATTTGAGAGACCAAATTGGAGACTCCTCTCCATCAAAGGATCTCCTATTTCTCTTGCGCCACTTGCACCACAAGCCCCTCCATAAACAAAGGGGAGTGGCCCTCCAAGCATCTTTGACTCGGCTCCCCACTATACACCCTTTCCACGCCTCTAAAAGGTCAACCGTGGACTCAGGAAAGAACATAGCCAAATCAAAAGCAACCAAGAACATAGGCCCAAATACCCCTCACCTCCCCCGACTTCTTGCACATGCAGCACTAATTCACCACAATCTGACGTCTCCTTTGGAGATTATCAAGAGTCAGAATACTTCCAAGGGCAGCAGTCCAAGTAAAGAAGGCCACCTTCAATGGGGCTGTTGTCTTCCAAATAGCTTTCCAAGCAAAGATGGGGCCAGGGGTCTCCATCAGACTCCTGTAAAAAGATCTTACCTCAAAAATCCCTCTTAATGAGCCCCCTCCCGCACCATCTCATCCATACCCAAGCCCTCCACCTCTTGGCTGTAAATTACAGCTGGGAAATCCGTGACCTCCATAATCTCCCAATTCCATCTTTGAGGCTAGCTTATTCCTATGTCCAGCTGGAGGAGAGTTGTAGGAGTGCTATGATTCACACACTGTCTCAGGATTGCTCTGCTCTAGCTTATATCCCTCAAAGAGATCAGCAGTTTGGGCAGTCTTGTGTTGATGGCAAGAGTGGGGGCTCTGCAAAGGACTAGCTGCAGTGTGATTTTTGCGGGAAGACAAGGCACGCTATGGGTTATTGTTGGAAACTCCATGGACGTCCTACTAGAGGTTGGGGTGGAAGTTGGTCCGGCACAACAAGGTCACATGCTCAAATGTCTGAGGTTTTTGAGGAAGTGTCTCAGCCGTTGGGGACTCTACCACTTTCATTGCAGATGCTTGTCTCAATGCTTCGTCTGCGTCAACTTCTCTTCTAACTTCGTTCACAGAGGCTAAGAAGTACGGAAACGGATACGGGACACGGATACGACATGACACGGACATGGCGACATGACAAATCCTAAAAAATTAGGACACAAACATGGCGGGGACATGACAAATAATAAATATTATATATATATATAAGTAGAAATATATAAAAAGAAGAGAAAGGAGTTGAATGATATGAATTACTCATTCACAGCTTTAGTATTTATAGATAAAATGAGCACATGCTCATATTACAAGAAAGGAAACTAAATCAAATCAAAATCAAATCACAACTTATTCTAAAGCATATTCTATGGCATATTCTATGGCATATTCTATAGCATAGTCAATTCTCTGCTATTATGGTAAGTCATACCATAAATCGTGGTATCATATATGCTATTATATGCATAGTTAAATCTCTGCTATTATGGTAAGTCATACCATAAATCGTGGTATCATATATGCTAACAATATATGATGTTGTACTTTAAGAAATTAAGAGTAGTGTTATTTTTTATCAACCTAATAATGAAAAACAATTGTGTTTTGCTGGGAAAAAGAAAGAATGTTGGAAAGAGGGTTAAGAAGGAGAAAAAAACAAAGAAACAAAGAAGATTAGGGTTTTTTTCTTAGTTAAAGATAAAGGTTAGAATCCATAGAAGAGAAAAAGTTCATGGAAACAAGAGGAAAAAGGAAAAAGAGAAAATGATTTTTGTTGTGAAAGGAAAAAAAATGAAGCATATAGGGTTTGTGAAGAAGAAGAAGGAGAAAGAAAAGAAGAAAAGAAGAAGACGAAGAAGAAGAGAGAAAAGAGGTGAGAGAGAGACCTTCCACCAGCAGCAAAACTTGGTCGGTGAGAGAACAAGAGAGAGTCAAAGATGATCGTGCAAGAGTTTGAATCTTTGAACTAAAATATAAGCATAAATATCTGATTGTTTTAATATAAAATTGTTTTATAAAACAACTTTGAAGTAATCAATCTTTGCCACCACAAGCTCTTGTCTTGCACTTCAACAACATAGATAGGAGGACAAATAAGGTTTGATTAGAAGATCTCATCTTGCACTGCAACAACATATGTTGGGAGTCTGAATGCACAACATCCACAGAGAACATAGAAGTCCAACTTACCCAAATTTTTCCAAGAGGATTCGAATCATAGTTAGCAGCCCAACACCAAGCCGGATTGACCTTTTTGAAATCCTAGAGAATTTTTCTTCTTTAACTCTAGTTTCAAGCAAAATAGCACAGAAACATTGTTCTAAGGAAATCCAACTTTTGACTTCCTTTTGCATTAGAGGTCTACTTAGACATTCCAGTGCCGAATCATTGAGAAGAATTGGGTGGTGGAATAGTTCCACCAGCACTCATAGCTCTTGTAATCCTCACAGAGGCATCAAGCACTTCCTTCTTTTCCTTCTTGGCCTTAACATACTCTTTCTGACCATGAATTTGAGAGTCTGAGCATGTAAAACCATCCTACTCACTTAACTTACCATCATTAACAGCTTGAATATCACAAAGTGCAGTATCAAAGTTCTTATTATTAATGACATCTTGAGAATAGCGAAGTTCGGAGATATGTTGAGGAAGGTCATCCTTAGCCTCATCTCAGCAATCCCTGGGTACATTTCACCCTGAAAATTACCCCACTCTTCCTTCTCTTGAGGGCAAGTATCAACCTGTCAATAGGATAAGCCAATTCGACAAATAATTCAGAAGCTGGATTAGCAACAACAGTTCCTGTATTTAAATCATTCGCCTCTTGAATAGCAACATAAAAAGTCTAGCATTTGATTGCTAGGCTGCACAATATGCCTCACAAAAAATACGTTGCTCGATAACGCTCTCTATGGCTGCTGTAGACTAGAGTATGATTTTTGAAAGCATAAAGTATTATTTATGGACCTTGGAAGCTGAAAAAGTTTGAGGTTAAGAGACTTCAAATCAAATTTCGAAACTGCTTTTTTGCAACTCTCGAGGGCAGTGAGCCTTGATTAATCCTTTGATCGGTCAAACTCCCGGTCCTAGTTGTAATTAGATTTGACTTTTCAAAAACAGTTTTATGCATTCCAAAACACATTTCTATGGTTCAAAACATGTAATTTAAAAAATCTAACATGTTATAATAAAATAGATGAATGCATATGAACCTTAAATTGGTGAGTGCACAATATTAGAAGTTGAATTTACCTTTTTCCCCTTATTGAAGCTTCGAATTACCCGACTTGCCATTCGGCAGAGGTAACTCAACTTACCTAACTTTTATAACATAAACAAAAACTAAAACTCAAATTACAGACTCCATTTTGTACAAAATTTGCTATCCAAAGTGCTATTGATCCTCAAT